TTATAGGATCCTTAAGGGGGGGTAGTTCAAGGGGGGAGGGTACTGGGGAACCCTGGGGAAGCTTAGGGAAGCTTAGGGAAGCTTCGGAAAGGTTAGGGAAGCTTAGGGAAGGTTAGGGTAGCTTAGGGAACTCTAAATTGCCTACCCCCCTTGGACCCCACTCCCTTAAGGATCCCATAATCTGTTTGACCACGGTCCTCAACAGCTGCATGAGCTACACGCTGGGCAAGGGTGTAGCTCAGGTCCTGGTCGGTAACTTTGCATTTCAAGCTTGGGGTTCAGAACCTTATAATTAAGACTCGGACAAGGGCCAAGGGTTCAACATTATAACATAACGGTCCCCCGATCTGATCATCGATCGTAGGCGATGGCATAGGGCACCAGGGCGAGCACCAGCATCTGCGCAGGCATGTCCATAACACTTAATTGCAATCTATATCAATGCCATACCATGGTGCATGCACAGCACTGGACGACAACGGATTGCATTGGACATTTTGGCAGTGAAAGCACTTGCGGTGCAGGTTCCTCCCACACCTGAGTCCCTCCTCACATGTGATGGCACTTGCTGGCCACATGAAGTCAAATTTGAGTCGTACATGTACGGATGACAACACCACAATCTAGAGCCACTGACCAGTGCTTCCATATAGCAGATTGCAATTTCAGACATTCAGCCATATATAGGATTGCAATTGCATACAGCTGCAGGCACTGGGCTATGTGGCCAACGTGGCTGTGTCCATATGCACACGTGATATCTCACATGTGTTCAGCAGCAAAAATCTGATCTACTCATGCCCAGAGAAGATAACTCACGAGTGACCCCATACACTCTTCACTGAGCTTTCTTCTTGTTCTTCTTGGACGTGGCGCTCTTGTTGGGATCGGGCTCGACCTGAGATAGAATCGAACATAGGTTTCTACACGGGTCTAATCAGAAACTCCCCACAAGTAGGCTAAGACATGATTGCAGGCAAAGTTTCGAAGAGGGCACGAATGGGTCGCACAGCAGTGGTGTAGTTTTCCACAGCTGTGTCAAGGACAGTCATCAAGGGCTGTAGTGACTTTTCGTCCTTGCAGCCCTCAATAAGCTTCATATCCAATGCGTCCGTTGCCGCTTCGATCGGCCCCTGATAGTGCTTAAGCTGGGAGACATAGCCTTCGGCCAATTGCTTTGACCTGGGATTCGCAGGTGTGTGTTTCAAGTTTGCGAGTTGGGAATTAATCTAATAATAATATATTACAAGTTTATTATTATATTCGAACTGTAGGTTTAAACTCGATCAATTGGGTCCGAGTCTGTGGTTTCAGGGTGTCGGTTTAACATTTAAAGGGTGTATTAGAAAGGGATGTAGCTACATATAGTGGGGCCCGGGTTTAAGAGGTGTGGATATGATATAATATATATATATATATAATTTGGGATGCTGATCGATCTAATAGTAAGTGAGCTTGTTATAGTTCAAGGCTAGCAACACTTTGCGCTTGTCCTCTTCCGGCTGCTTCTGGTCCTCTTCGATAACTCGAATCCAATACTTGGAGTCTGTCACTGTAGTGCGTCCACTGTTGAGCTTGGCATTTGCTCTGCCCGCGAAGTTCACTGGCTTCTTCGGAGGTTTCTTCGTCTCATTGTCGTTGCCAGTTGCTTTTTTTTTTGCCTCCACCTTTGCCTGCACCTTCCCCTCCCGGCTGACCTTGGTCACCCAGGCTCTCCAAGCTGTGCGACGGCTGCAACATCCTGCCACGGCCCATCGGATCTGTGGTGAGTGTCGGAGCTGCAACCCTTGGATGATCAGACACTCGAGGTTTGGGGCTCACCAGGTTTGGAGGTTTGGAAGAGGGCTCTAGGCTTCAGGGTTTTGTAATTATAAGATCACGAACATGCTTCAGGATTCAGGGTCATGCTTTCAGGAATCTAGATTGTTGCAATTGGGCTTCACGTGAGGTTTCCGGATCGGACTGCATTTTAAATTGTTTTCGTGCCACTACTGGCCTATGAAGTTAACCCTACTGGAGTTCCCAAGGATGATGACCTGAAACTAGCACAAGCCGTTCGGACCCATATGGAGTAATTTAAACGGAACATGTTATAACATAATATCTAATACTTTATTACATCTAGCTATTGTAATAATTATTTTATTAATTTATAAATTACTTGATCAAGTACTAGGAATTCATACGAGGCACCGAAGACCTCCCGCGAGACTTCCATCGAGTTCCATACTCACCTGCTGCTCTGAGGTTGTCGAAGTGTCTTTCATTGCTGCCACTGTCCCTTCATCCCAGCAAAGAAACAATTCCATGTCCTCGTCGGGAACATGCAACACAAAACCCTGCCAGGCAAGAGCATATAGTATAGCCTGCAAAGAGTGAGGAGTTAAAGGGTCCAAGGAGCAGGTGACGATGGCCAGTCCGGGTGAACACACCAATGTGGCACGTCCGGGTGGACGTTCCCCTGAGTGTTTTGCAAGTGTTTCTTCATGTCACGCAAGAGTGTAGCCGCTTCCTCCCCCTCATCTTTGACAATGTCCTTGAAGCGTCTGTACTTTGACCCTCCGGTAACACGATGCCGATCCTGATTCGACGATGTTTGCACCAAAGTGCAATTCGCCCAGCTCTCCCCGGCTTCGATGAATAGGTCAAGCAGCTCTCCGTACTTGCGATCTTAGCTGAGTTCGAAGTACAACACGGGATACACAATTATGCATAACATCAAAATTACCCTGATACCCTAACCCCTTAAACCCTTGAAGACCTGAAGCTGTAGATGTATCAAGTCACACCTCGTGCTCTCACTGCTAGCTAGGGTTTAGGCACGGTCACGGCTAGTGATATTGCAGCAGTTATTATGCATGCATGTATATTCAGCACAGTCTGATTTATGCTTAACGTATCCAAGCTACTCTTTTGTGCCACCTTGGCTTTTGCAAGGATCG